CATTAAAGTAAACCCGACAAAAGATATAAAAAAATTGAAAATTTCAATATTCTAAAATATGTGGGCAAATTTGAGACCATGCATGCTTGCTTCAAGAAAAAATATTGAATAATGGAGTTTGTACTTAAATTCTTGAACTGTGTTAGAGCGAAACCATGTTGTATGAGGGATATCTGTATATTTAATGGTACTTCTAAAACATTTTCATTTTTAGACAGTCATTGATTGTTATAAATAAAAATATACATAAAAAAAGTAAAAACACAAATGTTTTAATTATTAAAATATTTAATATTGATTTAATGATAAATCTATTACAGATATGTGAAGCTGCACAAGAAGCTATTATTGAACAAACTGTTTCAGATATGTTATATTTAATTGAAAACGAAGGGAAGTTGCGACTATACACATTTATGATGTAATCATTTCCCTATTTTTTTAATATTCATTAAGAATATTTTCATTTATTGTACAGTTCATCCAATGGATTTTAAAAAATATAAATACTTAATATATGTTTTGAATATTCGAATAATTCACTTTTTACTGACAATATATTTTAAAATAAATGAATTTATAACTTATCAAGAAATTAGTTGTTGATAATATGTAAAAGTTTTCTTAAAATAAACTTTATATAACTGACAAAAAGTTCCAAATCTTAAAATTTTAAATTATTTAGTGATTTTATTTCATAGATTATATGGTAAATATTATATCTGTTTAAGTAATAAATAAAAATATTAACTTGAATCAAAATATTTCTGATAAAATTGACACTTATAAAGTAACTTGACGGTACAAAATATTTATGTAAACTGGAGTTAGATTTCATTTTTCATTACTTTAATTTCTACAGCTATAGCATTCAATAACTTGTTCGGTAATATCTTGGACAATATTTAACTATTTTATCATCAGATGTAGTTTAGTCTTCGGAAAGTATTTTCATGTTTACATTTTTGAAAGCTTAATTTACTTCCTATATAATTATTACATTAATTAAGATCTTTTCTAATATCTTTTGTGCATATGATCCAGAAAATAAGTGTACAAAAACCTGATAAAATTTCTATGCTCATTTATTAAATTACTGCTGTTTAGAAAGCAAATTTGATATTACACAATAAAATTTCGATTATTTTACAATCATTTACTGGTAATTTGAAATTAGTTCAAATTCCTGTAGTAAGAAGAAATTGAGAGATCAAGAAACACCATCTTAAGTAGAATATAATTGACGAATTATACTGGGAATGTAAGTAAACTTACGTCATAATTATTGGTCCATCTATAGTCTACAGTTGGTGTATTGCATGAATTACAGTATTAAATTCATCTTCAATTTTCACAGGTTTTTCATGATCGATTTAAAACGATTGATAAATTCTGATTCAAGATTTTTTAATTCTTTTTGTTCTGTAGATATTAAGGAACTTTTATATGTGGACAGAGGGGGGGACTAAAAGTTTAGTCCCCCCCCTCTCTCTATATATATATACAGTGGAACCCCGGTTAACGACCAAATCGGTTAACTAACTATTTGCAAAAATTTTGTCTCGGATAACGAACTTAACGGCTTTTTGTGTCAAATTTGTAAGCTTGCCGACTTTTAGGGAAAATCAGTTAATCGTGTGTCGGTGATGGTCTAGGGTCCATTCGTACGTTGGTGGTGGCGGAGGAGACAAAGATGAGAAGTATTTTACAGTGAAAATAGTTTATTAGAACGGGAAGATGCTTACATATTTGAGGTAGTTGGAAATGGCTTATCTACAGTATTTTCTCTCGGCATTGAACAGTGGCGTATCGCTGGTCCTACGATAGTGCAAGCTGATCAGTTGTAGCCCCAGAGCGGACGAGATGGGTTCGCTTGGTCACAGAAGCGATGGTAGGTGACAGAGCTGCAACGACTGGAGCGGTCCGCGAGACACAACACAAATTTTAGCGGGCACGACTTCAGGCTTAATCCAGATGAAGACGACACAGATTAATCGCCATAGAATTTTTAGGAAAACTGCGTTTTGACCTTGAGATTCGGGGTTTTTATAGTATTTTTTCCTTGAATCTCACCTTACGATTAGTCCTGCGTCCCATTCCTCGCTTCCCGATTGTTTTCTTCTTTGTCTCCAGATGAAAACCGAAATCAGATCAGGTCACGAGAAAGGTTTGCTCCCAGGCGTTTATTTGACACTTGTTCGTCGACTCTGATCAGAGATTTTGATAAACCTATAAGCCTTTCGCTCATAATTTAGCCTATTGTTTCTGCTATCTGTCATTTTAAAACTTTAACGATCGTGTGTCATGTTTTTTTTTTTACCCGTCAAATCTTTCCCTTTTTCCAAAAATTTAACCTAGATCGACTGTTTATGAGCACGTTTTCTTATATTTTCATTAAAAACCCATTTTACAAATAAAATTACAAAAATATTGACGGCTAGAACGGATTAATTGTATTTGCATTAATTTCTATGGGAAAAATTACTTCGATTAACGAACGGACTCGTGGAACGGATTACGTTCGTTAATCGGGGTTCCACTGTATTTGCAAATGAAAAATGAAACTCCGGTATATAAATAATAATAGGCCTAAAGCTCTCGAAGACCCGTCTAAAAATCTTGAATGGTGAATAAGTTTTGTTCTTATCTCGTTTACTGAGACTTACTTTTTACTAGTTTACTTTTCGTAACTATTTGCAAATAACAAATCACTTATTTCATAAGTAACTTATTACGTTAAAATGTTCTATTCTTTAATTTCTTCACGTTTGTTACATCTAAATAGAATCCAGTTTCCCATAAAAGATTTTCCGGGTGGCATTCCCCCTTGGAAGATAGCCCGTGTGTCGCGTTGCCTTAAACCAAATTATATATGCCAATGACGATCGATTTTTCCATCGACTCCCTTGTGTGTGTATGAGGCACTTTCACTTTCCTGGATCTTCCACCATGGCACTCTTCTTTCTCTTTTTGTATTGATACAATACTGCATTCTATAACCTAACTGTGGAAAAAAACCCAAAATTAAATAATTAAATACAAATTTATTGATGAAATTACTATTGTTGTGTTGACATAATATAAAAAGCATAAAAATTATAATGCCTTTTCCTATATTAAAAATATTTATAACAATTGTAGTAAAATCCTAAAAACAAAAAGAACAATATAGTTTCGACCCCATCTTTGACCAATAAAATTTCAAGTACAAGTCGACCCCCGTATAAGATCATTGATTATTCCGTTTTATATGAATTCCATGTTGTACAAGTCACTTAAATTTTACAAATACGTGAGCCGTTCACAACCCGGTACACGTATTTGTAAAATCTAAGTGACTCGTACAACATGGAATTCATATAAAACGGAATAATCAACAGTGTTATAGGGGG